TGAACAAGAGCCTGAACAAAGGGCAGATGATGATAAATGCTGTAGGATGGCCGAAAGACTTTCTTCCCGAAATTGTTTTGTGCTCTTTCGATTTCTATGATATTATTTGCCCTTCCTCTCCTTTGTATTCGCTTTCTAAGAATAAAAATGTCAATCACTTGGTACAGCATTTTCGATCCACAGATCATTGGTACTTCTTTCCCACACCACTTCAACAGTATTAAGCCGCATACGGAATTAATTAAAACGTCACATTGACGTGTGCCCTAAAAATAGAAGACAGTTTATTGGGTAAATGTTAATAACCAACTTCCAGTAAAATAATCGGTTATTTTAAATAGTGGACCGCCCACGATTGCAGTTCAGTTTTAAGTATCAAGCATCTTGTTAAAAAGCCACCTACCTAATCATCGTAATTAGTTACTACTACGCTAATCTCAATTGCAACAGTCAACATCGGCTGGTAACGTGTGTTACCAATCTCACGACTTCTGCGTTATCGTTATCAGGGATTGATAACAACTTTTGATCTTGCTGGCCAATCTGCTTTATGATATCGCAACACTTGTCGTAATCGCTGCCTCGTTCAGGTTCGCCGGTTTATTTTCTTGGATTAAGACTGTTATCTTTGCTGTAGTGAGATTGATGGTAAACCGTAAATACGAATACTACCTCGAAGTAATATTTTCCATTGATGATCATCAGCCAAAGTCGGTGTCACATTTGGCAATAGCTATTTCCTCCCACTGCGCTATATTCAGCTAGAGTGTGCACTTAAAGGTAAGTCCAACTAAATCATACATCGTCAACTCGCCAGACGATTATAGTCTACTGCGTTGTGGTGACTGATAAGTAATTATAACTCCTTTTAAAAATTTCAGTTGATCACTAAGACGTAAGTAATACAGTAATGTATAGTGACAGTGTACTGTACAGTGTACAGTGGATATACAGAACATTATTGACATCATCTGCTAAGTAAACTGTACTAGCTACGATCGTATTGAGTAGTATTTACAGTACAGTACTGACATGTACTGTACATTGTACTGTATAGTGTACAGTACAGTAGACTGTAGCTATCGTGTACAGTACAGCATTGTACAGTACTGTACACTGCTGTACAGTACTGTATAACTTCTTAGCTGCAATACAGAATACTGTACAGTACAGTACTGTAAGTGCAGTCGAGTACGGTACCACACTGTGAGCCAAATTATTGATTCGTACGCCTGTATACTGTACACTGTACAGTACTGTACTGTACAGTAGGAGTTCTGCTATTATCCTGACCGCTGTACAGTACAGTGTATACTGTACACTGTAGTGTACAGTATACACTGTACTGTACTCACGCCTGAGAACCTGTAATTTACTATACTGTACTGTACGTACAGTACAGTACTGTATAGTTGGCATACTGTACAGTACAGTACCATAATTCCAATAACTGGTACAGTGTACAGTCTTGTGGACATCATGATGATCAGAGGACTGTACCGCTATCTTACGAGCTTTAGTACTGTACTGTACAGTACTAAAGCTCAGTGTTATTACTTACGGTGTACCGTACTGTATAGTGTACAGTACAGTACTGTACATTTTGTGCGCACTTAGCATTCTTCATACTGTACTGTACTGTACTGTACACTTGTACAGTACAGTACATTACTTTGTATGATGCAAAATATACTGTACAGTGCTGTACTGTACTGTATTTCTTGCGCCTGATACGTGATTTACAGTACTGTACTGTACAGTACAATACTCAAATTCGTGCTGTACAGTACAGTACATGTACTATAGTACACTGTCCAGCACGGTACTGTACTCTACAGTACTGAAGTTGAATTTTTTTTACTGCCAGTACAGTACTGCACTCAGAGTACTGTACTGTACTGACTACAGCACTGTACTGTACTGTACTGTACTGTACACTGTACAGTACTAGGCTATTTTGGACCACTATGAGCAGCACGGTGGTACTGTACGTAAAGCGTTTTGCTTCCATTTGGTAGTAATAACAGTTAATCTCTTATTTCGCTATATAGGGGAGATAGATCGTGTTTACACCACAAGGAATCGGAAAAAATAGCATAACATTTTCAACCTACTGTTATCTCATTTAATGGAAGCTTTGGACAACTTAGCTCAAGTTGCATCTGATCAGTTAGCATACACAACCGACTCGTCCAGCCTTTTACAACCTCCTTTAACCTCACGACCAATTTCTACTAAGGAAAGTAGCATTGTTACCAGCTGCACTACAACTACGATGGCTTCTGTTGCCGCAGATGTGTTGCCTGCTGAAGAATTACACGATACGTCCGGTGTTTATACAGGTACAGTAATATAATTTAGAATGTTACGTTGTTGTCCTGAATTGGAAAATGGTAAATTCAGGACAACGTATTATGCGATTGGATATATTCTGTATTTGAGTGTATTTTAGAGTACACTGCGTTGAATTCCTGGCTCGGATATTACATGTAACCGGTAACTTAAACTTGTATTGCGTTTTCTGCTATACTGTACATTATAGTGTACAAGGTATTCGTGTAGTGTTGGCTTGAATCGTTTGCAATACTGCAGTTAATAGTATTGGACATTTTATCCCAGACTAAAATTTCACAGTCCATTAAAGATAGTCTTAAAAGCCTCGTTGTAATCGATTATGCTAGACACCAGTATTATCAAAAGTTCATTTATATATCATAGACTGTTTAGTGCCATGTTACTTGGCGCTACTTTTGTAGTAAAGCGTATGCCGTAAGGTGTATTATATGTGAAAATAATGATTGGACACGCCAACTTGAAGCTAGAAATTATTGTAGCGTTCCTAAAAAACCTTTTATTGAAGATTTACAAAGTTAGCATGACTAGCGGATCAGCGAAAGGGTCTCGCTTGATCCAGCATTTCTCTGTTGTATGCCTAGTTACTATGGATGTTAAATCTGCTATGAACCCTAGTCATGATGTTCATTGTTGGTTATAGGCAACTGACAATTCATGGTGCTTCTAATAATAATTAAAAATTGCTTATTGGTAACTAAGATTATAACCTAGATGACCTGCACTATACCAGTGAACTGTAAAAGTAGCACTTTAACTTAAGATAGATTGGCAAATTAGCACCATTCAAATATCAACACTGTAGGAGTCATATATTATCCATGTTGATTGTTGTTTTTGTACAATATTCAAGATAGCAATGAAACCTAGTGATCCATGGTGTGCCCGATGTGTATTGCGTTAATGGTTCATTGATATTATTTGTATAGAACGGTAACACGAAACAGTCTGGCAGCATACAGTACAGCGAGTACAGTAGTTGAGAAAGTAGAGTTGACAATTATATCATTACAATGATGGTATCATCACTTAAACATTTGTAGTATATCGTACGAATCGTCATAACATACGTATATCGTACCAGGTAGTACCTAATCTATCGCTTGATGTTTTTTCGGATTTCACCTTCAAGTAGTAATGCAGTTCAGAATGATATTCACACTTTCAACGACATTTAATTTTCGATCGCACTTCTACATGTTAAGACATTAGGCAATAGTACCATACTGTATACGGTTTACAAATTAGAAAATTTCTTTAGTGATGCCCGTTGTGCAGCACTGTAGGTCATACTAAAGTAGTGGTCGTTGTCTTTTAGTATAGTAGTTGATTTCCTAGTTCTGCATTACAGTTTACTTTCAATAGATTGCATACTACGAGAATTTGACTTGCACCAAGCTAACTCGTAAATTGAAAATATGGTGGTACACAAAAATGTAAAATTAGAGTCATGTATTCAGAGTCCGTGAAGGGGTCGATATTGAAGTAACGTACCTTACAGTCAATACAGTATACACACAGTACATACGTTGTACTAAAACCGTACGGTGATCCAAGCGTCAGCTGTCAGAATTCTCTCAAACTCAAGCATAGCAGGCTCATCGTTGAAGTGCAACAAATTCATTTTTTATCATTCTATTTCTTACACTTTCCGTATAGACTTAATCACTACGCAACAATTGGACTAATTACACTGAGTAATCCTTCGTAAAAAGGGTTCTACTATTATAGAAGTCAACAGATACTGTTGTCGCAAGGTCTACTGCTGCAGTAATGCATTACCTTTAAATACGTATGATATTATACGTAAGCGTATACGAGTATACGGTTATATTTTAAACGGTGGAATGAATTGCTTCATTAATCTGACTTCAAATACAATATTATACAAATATGATTGTATAGCATTTCTTTCAGTTATATAATATTAATCAACATAATTTAAATACGGCATCATTGTCACTTTTAAATCATAATCAGGTGAGCTTGAAGTAATTCCAGAATATGGAGCAGCTGAAGGCCCCAGATTTACGGAATTTATGCCAACTCCACATTCTTACTTACCGATGTATAAGGACGTAAAACCCCATGCCATTGACTTTTCGATGGCACCTCATAATGCTAGTGTTTGGCTGAGCGATCCACCCTTAATCAGCCCAATTGTTCCTAATACTTGGGGTACAACGAGTTCGCAAAGCCATTTTCATCCACAAAGTCAACAACAACAGCATCAACACCAACAGCTTGCGCAGCATCAGCAAACTTCACAGACTGGAATGCAATCACTCCAACAAGTTCAGCAACAATCGCAACCGCGATTAACGGCTCCATTTCAAAAACTATCTAATAATCCTGCTTCACTTCAGTGGCCAGACATCAATTTAAGTGGTATGATGCCATCGACGTTTGCCCATCCCCAGCAGCAGGTGCAGCAGCAACAAACCTTTAGCTCAGCAGCTGTCACTATCTCACATCAAGCTAACGTAAGGGATATCTTGATGCAGAATATTCACACTACTGCACCGCAAGATGTACGGACAACTTCGTCTACTTCACAGCAAATGTCCTTAAATATAAAAAGTGGTAAGGAAATCACTAAACCCAAAAAAAAAAGTGGTGCTTCAAATCGATCCCGTACGCCGCCAAGTGAACGTCCGCACGGATGCCCAGTTGAAGGCTGCGGACGTAGGTTCTCTCGATCTGATGAACTTACACGCCACATGAGAACTCATACTGGTAAGTTTTATCGACTGACATTTTCGCCCAATGGCGATGTCTTCTTCATTCTGCTGATTTTATACTATTGCTATAATGATATAGTATTGTTACATACGATTTTGCCATTCCAGTTGTGAAGTGACAATGAAATAGGCAGCCTTTAGACTTCCAAGGCAAATACTTTACAGACCATTTTACGTAGCTTTGCTATGCGATTAATTACATACCCGCCATAATGAGTCTAGGCCCTTATAGGGTTATTGATTTTATTACTTTTACGAATTTAGTTGATATTCGATAGATGTTTTTAATTTAAAAGCCCTTTATAGATTGCTGAAGGAAGTATGCATGACATTGCACAATTTTATATTACTAGCAAATAGCAGGTTGCAAACAGAAGAGTGTATCATCATGCTATGCAACTAAACTTGATAAAACGAACTAAAAAAGAGTGTTCTTAAACGCTACATTTTGTACGTATGCTTAGGAGCCTGTTAGTACGGTATATTAATTACTATCCAATTAATAATATTAGCACTGGATAGTACCATTACATTACATGCAAGAATGATTAGCTGCTGTGTTTGAAAATTCTTGCGGCTGAATCTATACCAGTTTCGAAGAATTTACAAATGTGGAGCTCTGAAATAATTGGCTTGTTATATCGTAGTGTTACATTCGGTCTGAATAATACGAAGCTTATCAATTAAGGAATAAATTTTACGCTCTAACAAACAAATTTGGAATATTATAAGGTCAAAAGCCATTCCAGTGCCGGATATGCATGCGAAGTTTTTCTCGTTCAGACCATTTAACAACTCACATTCGAACTCATACCGGTATGTACACCCAAGATCTTTATTTAAGATATTATCTAAGAAGTTAAGAAGAGCAATGTGATAGAAACTATAAATACAATTATTTATGGATGCGTAGGAGAATAATTTTGATGTGATTCCTACGTGCTAATTGACGTTTAGACAGCATTAGGTTAATGCTCCTGACTGGTGTTTGGTTATCGTTTGTTTTATTGCTTCTCAAATGCTTGCTTGATTTATTACTTGCTATAAATACTTCTGTATAATTTTTTCCTTAAATGCTGCATTAATATTGTTGTGAATGTGATTGGTTATGATCTATTATAGCGACATTGTTTCAAAGTTGAATTATTCCTTGTTAAATTTTTGAAATGGTATTATAAAATCCAGGTGAAAAACCGTTTGAATGTGATGTTTGCGGTCGAAAATTTGCTCGTTCAGATGAAAGGAGACGCCACAGCAAAATACACTTTCGAGAAGCGGAAGCAATGAATAAAAAGCAACAGCAGCCTCAGCAACCGTCATCGTCAATGTCGACCCTGCTCAGTAAACATCTGAAAGGTGAAAGTCGCGAGCATTCACGATAATACTGATTCGTCCTTTTGCATCTCACGGAATAATGTATCACGGCTTATCTCCAACCTTGATTAGATTTAACTCAGTTTCATTTTAAGACATATTTTCATGCGTCTAAAGTACCAAATATTGTATTATTCTTTTCATTTATTCCTTGAAGTGTACTAATTAGAATTAACATAGTTGCACTTCGTCAAGATATTTCTGTGATTTGGCTATCTATTAAACTTACTGTACAGTTTGATTTCTTGTGCTGCACTGAAGTATACAACTATCACCGTTATATTTCAGATCGACTGCCTCATAATTTTGATTTTGCTTCCTTTAAAGTATTTTCTATCCTCATAATTCACTAAGTGAAGACAGTGTACTTCATTTAAAAAGGTTCTAACTCAGAATAATTTTATTTTATATTGCGGCATTTCAGAGATATTGATTGCGATTGAGAGCATTTATGATCTAGCTAGTTTAGTCTGTTAATACTTTCTTTACTAACTTAAGCTATATTAATCAAACGTTACTTCATTTATGATTGCATTTCTCAAACAATGAAATCTTTTAAAGTTTAAAACTCTATACGTGCTTGTGGTGTGAAGCAGCAGCAAATTTTTGCAAATTTTGTTTCGTTCCGAAACTACCAGTACAAGATAAATTTGTATTTAACATAATTAATTCTGCGCTACGTAATATCGGTTATGGTTCTGAAATTACATTCTACAATTTATGTTTACGGCCCCTGTTAAGACCGTTCTTTGCAATTAACGACCGAATTTATTCGTTTATTTTTATTGTAACGACTTTTTAAATATCATGGCTTCGTATCTGAAAGCCTGGCGATCTTTATGGGTACTTGATAAGTACACATTTGAAATTTTCATCAGTACCATCATTAATCTGTGCCCTTGGATTCGCAACTTGGCCGTCGTTATTTACTCATTTGGTGCTAACCATGCACATGACTGCATAGATATGGCAGATAAGTGCTGATGGATTTATCAACACGTTTTGAATTAGGGCTTTTTGAAAGTCTTGATATGTTAAGAGTGCTGCATATTGTAGTACTTATTATTATTATCCATTCTGTGAGTTATTCTTGACAACGCCCTGATGGAATAGTCAGTTGATATTGAATTCGAACTGGTTCCCTGAATTAAGACTGGCACTGGTTATGCAAGGAGATATCACCTTTGAAATTTTATCTAAGGATTTCGATTAGGTTTATATAAGTATTATCTAAATATTAGATCCTTCGTTATATTATATTCAGCATAAGCTTTTGGAATAAGTTTTCTTTACTCCTTATCAACACCTTATGGAAGCTTTGCATTAGCATGTGCTATGTGATGCGGTGCTATCGCTTCAGTTATAAAACAGAGTTACTAGTAAAACTACGGTATATCGATATGTGCATAAAAATATTACATATCTATTTATTGAATATTGCGATACGAGAATACAAAGAAAAAGTATAAATTATCATATGTTGCAAAATTACGACGTTATTATTGCTATAGATTGAATCTTTTCACATTATGGTAACTGCCCTAGCTATTTTTATCATTCGATATCAATACTTATATTTACAAAAATTGCTTTCAGAGAATTATGTCATTGAAATTATTAATTACTACTAATGCTTCGTAGAGATATTTGATTTCTTTCTGTATTGTAACTGCCATTTTCAATCTTGCCCAAAATACTTGGCTCACAGTTATGCTGAATGACCGGTAAACTTAAATTAAGATACAATAAGCGTTATTCTGACTTTAACTGTGGAGCTTCTTCAAGAGATATGGTATTTATGCTATTAAATCTGTTTATTAAACATTTAATTCAGGTAATGGTTATTTTGCCTAATGCTTCAAAATTAAAAGGATTCTCTCAATACTTAAAATTGTTATTTTATCTCGATATATTCAGACTCCTTGTAATATTTAACTTTAATGGTTAAGGGGTATGATTTATAATATCTACGATAGTTCGCACAGGAATAAAGATCCGACATATCCATCAATGGGTCCTTGCTTCGTTTTAATTGCTTAATTGATCTGTCGTAAGTTAGGTATACTAGGTGTAACAGTAAAAATCTGTAGTTCACTGACAGAGATTGGCCAGCAGTACGTATTACAACAGAAAAATTGTTAGCGTGACTATGATACGTATCAGTGGTGTAGATACTACATTGCAGTCTTAATCTTCCTACTGCTATTTATTTCGTTGTAATGTCTGCTTAATTAATGAATAAAATGCCATGCAAAATCACACAAACCGGCAGCAAAGCGCATCCGCATTATTATATATACGCATATATGGGATATATATAAATATAATTATCAGTGTTATGTGAATGTATACACTTGCACGGTAAGCAAAGTAATGATCAATGATATATCTATCATCTACCGTTGGACATCCGTGTACTACATTAATACTACACGTAAAAACCCTAAAGTGTAACCAATTTCTCGGCAACACGAACCAGTTAAAAGGATTTGACAAAATTGGCAATCAGACGCGAATCTTTCTGTTGCAAAAAGTACTCGTACAGTGCTATGTCTGTAATTTTAGTAATCCATGATCCTGCCATTTTATAGTCCTGTACCGAGTCTACTGAGTGTACAGAACTTACAGATCGTTATTATATACGACGCTATATTTATTAGACTGTACGATGCAATACTATATACTGTACAGAGTCAGTCAGTAATAACACTGTACAGTTAAGATTGCTTTTGCGTATTTGCGCTAACTCAATAATACCTAGAGTTAGTAGTACGTTACAACTTGTTATTATCACAGGTTACATAATAATACTTGCGATTGAATATTTATGGTATTCTACAAGTGTTAACGTACACTTGTTAATTCTTCGTGTTAATGGTGGATTGTACTGCGTACACTAGCGAATTCAATGTTATACAAACTTGTAATTATAATGCGTTGTAAGTGTGAACGGCGTTAGTATATAAGCCGTCGCTTTGCAATTCAAGAAAGAGAAAGAATAGGATTTAGTAGTTAATTTTACAATAACTTCAACTACGTGTACAATCTCTTGTTTCCCAAGCTTATTGAGAGTAGTATGAGCCTTCAATACGACTGTCTACGAACTGGTTCTGATCTCCTTGAGTATCGTGTACGTCAGAACTTCTTGCATTACTTTCAGATTGATTTAATGTACGCAACGATCGAGCATTTCGACGATGCTCACTTCGCCTTCGCCTATCAGATTGCTAACTAACTGGCATTATCCTCTTTGTAACACTTTTTAATACGTAAAATACTGCATATATACTGTATATATAGGTTACGGCCAAAACCCGAAGTTACGGTCCATGTAAGGGTCCGGGCATTCTACTGTATACTGTATAGTAGAAGTTTTTTCATATACTGTACTGTACATTGTCCAGATTGTAAAACAGGGGGTTTTACGTAGATTGCCCGGAGTGTCAGGCATTTATATATAGTAATTCCTTACTTGAAAATTAGTCAAACTCAAAAACGACACCTGGCTAAGATAAGCCGGATAATTATCCTGATACTTAGGACTGTAAAATCTTCATACAAATTACTATTACTTTCTTTAGTACTTAGGACTTATAACTAGAGTATTACTCAGCTAGTCCATACTGAAGGAATCTTAAGTTAAAATTTAATTTACGCGGCGCTACAGGTTGTTAGTATTAACCCTAGATAGTAATATACAGTACAACAACCGCAATAATTTCCATTCCACAACGTTGTGTACTAAGTCTGTATCGCATACTGACATCCGTGCACGTAGACAATAAATAGCATTACTTGCTAAGGCCAATAAACTTTATGCTCTATTCGTGCGCCGTGGCAATTTCGCTATTACTTGTATAACTTTTTGAAGGATCTGACTGGTATTGTATGTGTCTTATAATAATATTGATTCGTTACTCAGTACAGTACATAGATTAACGCTAATTTGCATACTACTGACTGCAAGGTCCATAAGTAAAGTACAAGTAAATGTATCTATCTCTTTTCTTTTCGTGTGCTTTGCAGAATAGATTATCGATATCGATTTTCTATTTCTATTTACGCTATTAATCAATTCAGCTTCCTGTGACAACAGTCGCGGACAAATCGCCGCTAAAAACTCATAAAAAGTGACGGAATAATTCCCACCATCGCACTATAATTATACCGCACTTCTCTAGACGATGTAAAACACAGCGCCCATTTTGCTGACTGTACTGTACTGTTCTACGAGTATCGTGAATCATACTGTACTGTACACTGTACAGTAGTACCCTACGCTATCAGCAAAGCGAGTGTTGGCACAAAACATCTCGAGTGTCTTTACTTGGTACTGTAGAAAATTTCGCGTTTAATTTGATTTTATGATTAAACAAGACTATGTAAAGGAAAAATTTAGATGTCAAGTTAGAATGTAACTCGAATGCTATGGAATATAACAACTCTTAATCAGTATTTGCTTATTAAAATCACTGGTTGATGCTTTTCAAAGTGACAAAATACTTTGATACACACTGTACAGTACTGTACTGTACAGTATATTGGTCTACGCCTACAGCAGTACTGTACAGTACACCGTACACACTGCATAGAGTGCGTTTATCTTCACTCTGCAGTAGTCTGCACTCTGCAGGTTCCGTAGAATCAGTAGTGTACTGTACAGTGTACAGTACAGTTCACAACAGTTACTGTACTGTACAGTACAGTATGTACTGTACCGCGCAGTACTGTACTGTACACTGTACTGTCCTCGAGGTACTGTTTACTGTATGTACAGTACTGTATATTACATAGCGCAAGGCAAGAAATATCATCAAGATTCAAGCTTGTGGAAAAGGATTATCAACTAACAGGAAAGACATCTTGCACTTTTATCGTTATCGTAAAGCACTAGGAGTAAAAGACAGGTATTTGAACCTTTCATGAATGATTTTTTGACTTACGTGAAAGCGTTGTATTCTGTATTCGTAATCTTCTTACATGAATACAGGACTTCACTATACCGTATGTACAGAAGTGTTGTCATACATTAGCATTGAACAATAAATAAAATTGTGCAATTGATTCTATATTATCAGTTGTGGTAATGTTATTACCCGGAAAGATTTTTAGTTATTCATTCTTCACTATTGTAATACTTTACAATACTAAAAATTTTGTATCTCTCTTTGGACGTAGAAAAGATTCAGCCAGTAGAGTTCATGGAAAACTATGGTTACGCTTATCAGCTCCGATTTATTTTAATCGGTGATAGTACTGTTGGCAAATCATCGTTATTAAGGCAATTTAGCGATGGAAAATTTTTCGATTTTTGTGATCCAACTGTTGGTGTCGATTTTAACGCACGGATTGTTAATATCGGAAATAATATAAACATAAAGTTACAGTTGTGGGATACTGCTGGTCAAGAAAGATTTCGTTCCATTACTAGATCGTACTATCGTAACTCAGTAGGTTGTTTATTGGTTTACGACATTAGTAACAGGGATACTTTTGATCATTTGCATTCGTGGTTGGAAGAAGCCAAATGCTTCTCCGAGCCACATGGACTGATTTTTATATTGATTGGGTGTAAATGTGACCTGGAAAAAGAGCGCCAAGTATCTGTAGAAGAGGGGAAAAAATTTGCCCAAGTTAATGAAATGCAATTTTTAGAGGCATCCGCCAAGATCAAACACAATGTCGATCAAGCATTTTCAACTTTGGCTCGTGATATTTATAAACTTATTCAAAAAGGCCTGCTATCTCCTAAAAGTGGCTGGGATGGTATTAAACCTGGTGAAAATTTCAGTAATGCTGCATCAGTTAGTGTAGATAGAAAGGATTTATCAAATAATTCTTCGAGCGCTGTAGCAATTGATAGTAGCTGTTGTTAAGGGGTAATGTAGAAATAAGGGAATGTACCATACAATCATGCCTAAAGTCTTAAGATACGGTACTTTAGAAAATTAATAATTCATTTGTTACTCATTAAATGGTGGATCAGAGGTGATATGATCAAATCAAACCTTACATTTAGCAAGTGATGGTGAAATTGCTTATTAAAATTGTAAATTATATTATTGAACATAATTATTTTTATATCAACTCATTTCATAATGCTTCTATAATGCTGTATTTGTGTAAAATGAGATGAAGCATTTGATTTTATTTGTAGATGTCTACACATCAATTGTATAAAGGTGATATGCATCGTTTATCATCTGATTTATTATATGATCCATTCAATGATTCTCTAGCATTGAGCCTTTGTGTTATGTTTCATAATCTTGTTCTTGTTTAGTGATATCCATGCGCAAGAACTTTCGTGAACAAAATTTAACTAGTAAACATTTTACTTTACATTTTCTATCACTATAGAGAACCTGTATCGAAAATTTGTGCCTGATTACGTTATCAATCTACGACTTAATGTATCTTAAGAATGGAATTGATTAGATTAATTTGCTTTTACGTTGTATCAATAATATCCTATCAGATAAATACAAATAATTTTGCTTTTCGAATGATCTCGCACTCGCTTGCAATAATCCAGGCAAACTTAATAGAAATATGAATGTATACATAGGAATACTGGATATTTAAAGAATCAACACGCTTTGTGAAGACGCATTTTGTATATTGGATATAATAGCTACTGGGTTGAATGAACTATTAAATTAGTGTGTCAGAAACTGTTAACCACTTACGCAGAGTGCACTATATCACATTGAGCAAGATAACTAAAAGTACATACAACATACAGGTTTAGTATTACTTTCACTTCAGATTAAATATTAACTAGTTATAAGTAAATTAACAGTGCAAGTGCGCGAAGTACCACAAGTGGGAGGTTCTACCAGTAATTAATTGACTGTAGCGGAATAATGTTTAGCTATCATCGATTCTAATCGTGGCATATTTACAGTGACTAAATTTATAGATACTTCCATCGGAATGGCAAGTAGCATAATTATTGACCGAACCATAGAATGATTGCATGCTTTTCTTCGGGATATTCTGAAATTTGGGATAGAATTGAGATAGCTGAAGCATTTCTGTAACTCTCATTCTTGTTAAAGTAATATGGCTTGTTAATTCTACATGAGACACGTACTTCATAAATTTCATATAAACCGTACGATTTATCATGCTATCCTTTGGAATTGGTTTCAATTAGCTGGTTTTATAACAGATACAAAATGATTTTGATTTTCGTCTACACCCGCCCATTATAAATGTAAAAAATTACTTCAGTAACGTAATTCACAGTAGAATTTCCAGATAGAGAAGAGCTAGTAGTTGTTCATACATTAATTCAGGTTATTAACACGGAAAGTACGGAACAAGGAATGTAGTCATTGGTTTTTTCAATTCTGTAAGAGCTGCAGTTTCGTTTTATAATTTACGGAAAAGAACGCAGCTCTGTTCTTAGAATATTGTACGACATTTAAAAAACACGATATTTGACTTCTTACCAATGACTGAGTTTACTAGTGACGTCTATACAATAATATTACATTATTATACATCGGGAGAGGCATTTTAAGAATGTTATTGGTCACCAAATAAGTTATATAGCTGAGTGATAGTGATCTATCTTAACTTAAGGGTTGGCAATATTGTAGATTGTTTAAAATATGAACTATGTAATCAGGGATATTCGTTTACATTGCGGCGATTTCAGATGCCACGCATGTTAAAGTTACAATTAGGAAGTTATTTAATCACATGTACTGCGCAATATTACCATACTTTCCCGTACAAATATTGCTTCATTAGACGTTAACTTGCGGACTCGTAAACCGAGAACTATTTATAGTTAGGATTAGGTTCAATGAAGGACTCGTTTCGGTAACATCATCTAAGGTGTTAGTTAAGGTTCGCTATATTATACAATATAAATTTGATGTGATTGTTTATTAGTGTCAATAAATAGTTGTAAAGTGGATAACATAAAGGACAATATTTAGCAGCACTAATTAATTGTACGTTCGGGCCTAGTAGTTCAGGCGACATTTAATAGGCACAGATTGAGATTAAATTTGTTCATATAACTAAAAGTCAAATCATGTCGGGTTAAGTTTGACCCTCAATTTAGTGCTATTATTAAATGCAGATAAAAATGAAATAACGGTATAGAAACATAACTACAATAAATATAATAAAATTTCGAACATAGGATGAATACAAGACGAGTATCAAGACTTACAACTTAGGACTTGATAAATTTATGCGTTTAGTTACTAAGGTCGTTTGTGCTGATTGAAATTAAGAGATTTATGGTATTGTAATATTAAAAGTGAATACGAAGAGACAATTAAATTGTAAGCAACAACTTAGGTTGTAACATTACCGAAGTCTCGCATCAGGCTGGATTGTAATCATGAGCATATTTTTACGAGTAGTTATCTTGATGCTAGTAATTATATAATTCTATACGTAATATCTGTGATTATTGCTACTGTATGAGAGCTACAGTACAAAATATGCCGGCATTGACCATAACTTATTCGATTAAAGCGAAGTCTACGATGCCGTAAATGATAAAAGCCGCCAATAAATATGCTAACGCGAGTTTATATTAGTCTTAGATAATGCTAGAAGAATATACTAAGGAATGCTTCCTGTTATTTTATCGTTAATTAAATCTTATCCAAAGCAGGCTTTCTACAGTTGGCTCGGTGGAACGGCCAATCCAACTTCTGACATCTGATACTACAGTATGATTGCTGTCTGCAACATTCGAATTTCGCTTGGTTTCCGCAAGTACAAGTCTCTGAACGATTGTCAGCTGTTTGATATTTCAAAATCGGGACAGAAGATAACGCATTTACGTACATTGGTAACATAATTATTTTCATTTATATATACGTTATTTACTGAAATGCTAAAATGATATACTTACACAGCAGTTTAAGTTGTTTGATGAGAATTGTATCCTCATGGAAAATATCCCTTGCAATAGCTTTCCGTTCATTTGCTGGGTGAATTTCATCAAGCTTTTCAGAAATGAAGATGAATTCTTTACCAATCAATTGTTCACCAAGGACTTTAAGGATAACCGCACGAATATTTGCTAAGGTATATTCCGTCGGTAAAACACTTATAACGCCAATGTTTCCAAATGATCCACTGCATTTTTTAATCTTGACTGACATTTTTATTGCTCCATCTGCAGAATAGTTTGGTAAACAATTATTGGGTATATTGCTGGTAACTCACAATCTTTTCCTTACTTATCTAGAATGTAAAATATGATTGCAAATACATAATATCTAGTCTATCGCACTTACCCATAGCATCAGTTTCATTTACATAGTTTGGAGGTAACGAAATTATGGACATTCCACGACTACGAGAGTTATCAACCAACAATTTATTTCCCATATTTGAACTGACAGATGGTGACTTTTGTAAGCCATTTTCTAAACGTATTGAAGGAGTAAATTCCTCATTCTTTGACGGTGAAGCCAGAGAATCTCCAATATCTGGTAAAAGCACTTTATTTATGGTTGATTCCACAGTAATTTCAGTAGAATGTTGTTCGCTTTGGCATTTAGATTTTATATCACTCTTGCTACAGTTGTAATTATCGAAGGAACCTTCATATGAAACCTTGGACTTGGCTATTTTTGTGTCATTAGGCAGCTCTACTGAAGAAACTCTTGCATTGTTAGACAATTGAGTTTTATATTTATAGCCACCATAAACCAAAATTATCGTGATTATAATTCCTAAACTGATTCCAATAATCATGCCGGCAGCTTCACCACCTTTTAATCCAGGACGTTCTCCTGTGCCAAAGTATTGTTGACCATTAACCAACATTTCCTTTACTGTTTTTAGCACATGTCCATGATATGATATAGAAATTCCAGCTTGGATTTCTGTGTACATTATTACCAACGACCGATTCAATTGATCAAACGGTGCGGTAGCATTAAACTGGACTAAAATGCTACCTTTGCTAATTTTAAAGCCCGTGCAGCTTATACTTTGGTATCTAGAACTTATGATACTGCGTATAAAGGTGTAAAATTGCGCTTCTCTATGCTTTACAACTCGATCATAATCGTTCTCAAATTTCCATATCACCTGTTTCGTGGTAATAGGATAGTAACATAGATAGGTCGAAGTGTTTATATTATAGATTTGCATTGGAGAAAATCCATTTTTATAAACGACACTAAGATTACTAGCGAGCTGTATTTTAACAGTTTCAGTGTATAAATAGGGTTGTTTCGTTCCAACGCTTGACGAGATTGCAATATTTCCCACCGAGTTTCTTGAATCTCTCAGTACTTGGAATATCGATATTCCAACTTTACCTATTGCATGGCTTGTTGTAGCAGATATGTGGTAATTTCTAGCGTTATCACTTTCGGCTTTCACAATTACCCCATTAATAGTATTGCCTGTAACGGTGCCTTCACGCATCATTTGACCGACTTCAAATCGAGAAGTGGACATAAAGTGTGCGATAGAATTATTACCATAAGTGAATGCAACATACAGATCAGGCTTGTCACTGGTAACTTCTCCGTAGCCTTTCATTAATTGCAAGACGATCTTCAACTTGCAGTCAGTTTTATTGTGTGGGATATTAACAGACACGCTTTTGATAAATCTCGCTAAATTATAAAATACTTTAACTAAAAATAAGGCATCAGCATAATCGACAACTTGATTATGGTCATAGTCCAGTGATACATTTAGAGGCTGCAAGGCTTTCGAGGATTCGATCTTTATATATGCTGCATCCATAATATTAAAACTGCAATCTCCGTTACTGTCTCCCATTGCGGGCTTAACACATTTCTTTACCTCAATGTTACTGTTTAAATATTGAAGAGAATTGTCGATAATCTCCAAAGGACGCCCAGTAATGTTTGGATAACCTGGCTTCATTATTATCGCTGAAATAAATCCAATCCTGTACATTATCCCATAAGTATTGTCAGCAGCATTGATTAGACCTCCAACCTTTATAGTGGTATTGTATAAAGCGAAAATAATATCATTGTCATGACTAGGAGTAAAACTGATTGCTTTTATATTATTGGGATCGAATTTAATAAGGACATTAACAGCTGCCAGTTTAGCTGAGCCGCGATTAACATAGACGTTAACATTGACATTTTGTCCTTTTAGATAACTTCCAATTGCCGGCCCGACAAGTTCGCCAAGATGGACGCCTCCTAAACCTGGTATTACATTGCAATAAAATGAAATAAAGGTCTTGATGAATGGTTTATCAAGTGATGAAGCCGTAAAAATCACAGGGTCATAATAGTTGGCTAGTAATGTTATTATGCCTGTTGTGCGGTTTACGCGAGCGTATTTCGATTTTGACACAGTGAATGTCACTAGGTTTGGGTATGTTACAAAGTTGCTAATCATCAATTTATCTCCGTTAGCCATTTTCATCACGACTTCTGGTCTGGCAATCGTTGAATTTGCCGTGCCATACAGAGTGTTATTTCGAAGGTTTAAGTTGACCGATAGCATAGAAGAAATGTTGACAGCTTCATGACTAACGTGCAAAACTAGTTCCTGTCTCGATTGATTAGCGAAAGACCCATGTATAATAATTTTACCGATTGGGCTGCTTTTATTAACGGTTAGAACATTGTTCGATTTGATGGTAGAATCTAACGCGGCTTTGGCAGAACTTTTGTACGATATTGAAAATTTGGTATGGTTACTATCAGTTACGTCAATAACTTCGCCGTCACTAATTTTTATCTTTGCATAAAAAACGACTTTGACGAATTGTTTACTACGGCCGATAAGATAAACCTTTCTAACTTCCTCCTTATTAATATTTGGGAATAAAAATGCTTGTAATTGTAGACTTGTATAATCTACAGCGATTAATGGAACGTCAATGATACCGACATTAATAACACGAACCTTCAGGCGGTTAACAGTAGCTCGTTCAGCGGTAATTACTGTCGTGCCATTACGACGGCTAACGATTAGAGAATTATGTGTTGCTTCACTATCAAAAATAGTTTGAGATACATCATTGGTGATATCGGTCCGTTTGCCTTGCTTTGACTTTAAAATAACTTTGATTGGGCTAAAACTAGGTATTCCAGCAAATGATGCTACGCTTTGATAAGGTGCAATTTTTGGCAAAACATCTTCTATTAAGATGACATCTCCATTTGTGTCTGGTATATCAGTAACCGTTATGTGAACGGTCATCTTTGTAGCCTTCTTGTAATCTTGACCATTTTGTGCTGTAATTACGAGTTTATACGACGAATATGTTTCATAATCTAGTGGTTGCATTAAAATAATTTCACCGTTTGTTTTAGCAATAGAGAATGTCTTACGAAAGTTTCCTGATTCAATGTAGTAATCCACGATACCGTGGCGATCGATATCTCGATCTGTAGCTAAAACTTTCACTACTAAATGTCCAACCTTCGTGTTCTCTGCTAATGTTAGGGATAAGTTAGTTCGAGTAAATACTGGTGCATATTCATTAGTCGGTATAACTGTTAAGATAACTATTCCAGTAATTGCTCTGGGCTGTGGAGTACCACGGTCTGCAACGTGAATATTAAACGTAAAATTTGTATACGGTAGTAATGTAGTCGAATTTTCTAGTTCCAAGCTCTTATTAGTAATGAAAGCTCCAGTAGTGGAATTTAGTATGAAGTAGCCGCATAAATCACATGAAAGCATCGTAAAATTTAGTGCCCCATTTTCGCCAGCGTCAGGATCGCGAACATCAATTATAGCAGCAGTTTCGCCAATCCGTGTATTTTCTGGAACAATATAGTGCGCTGGATATTCTGCAAAGTAAGGAGTATTATCGTTGACATCAAGCAATGTAATAATGACTGTTGCGTTTGTAGATCGTCTTTTCTCGATCACTGCTCCGTCATATGCTGTTATTGTTAACGTAAAAACTGAAACTTTTTCTCGATCAAGTGATCCATTAGTAACGATACGACCGTTCGTCTTGTCAATATCAAATGCACCATCGGAATTTCCATTTGTTATTTCATAGTACACTTTACCTTGGGGTCCAGTATCATTATCTGTTGCAAATACTGTAACAACGTAACTTCTAATTTCAACATTCTCTGATATTGTAGATTTATACAAGCTATTAGTTTCATTAAAAACCGGAGAATAGCTATTGACATAAAATACTTCAAACAACTTTGATCTAATAACTTTGCTCGCAGGTGTGGATATAAATTTTAACTTATATCCGATACCATATTTCGTTATCAGTAGATTCTGAAATCTTGCCCGTTCGTTAAATACAGTCACATTTTTAGTACCCAATAGAGAAACGTTACTCTCCAATGGCCATGGGTTCTTGACTAAAGAAACGTATATATACCAAGGTTCTTTCAATGGCGTTGCAATCTTCTGAGTACCGACATCACGAACTTCTATTATCGGCTGCTGTCCGAAAACTACAGATTCGTTGGCATTAGAAGGTTGCATGGTAACATGGAGGTAGAATTCTCTCATGCCGACGTTAAATTTCTTACTCTTTACCGATAAACCAGAATAAGTCGCAGAATATTGATCTAAACTAACATTATAAAACAATGAGAATTGTTCACCAGAATCATATATACTTAAATTTGTAAACTGTGCTATGCCGCTAGCTGGTATCGGAAGTCTCGTTTGACCATTTAGCGTTGTTGAGCAGTTCCCATCTAAGTACGCTTGAATGAACCACTTTCTACCTCGCCAGCCTATATTGTTCACAATTTGTCCGTTGGCTTTATCGTGAATAGCGAGTGCAGGTTGTTGCCCACATGCAACAGTTTCATTGCAATTTCTGGGCTGTCGAATAACACTTAGGTAAAACATACGTTCTTTAACTTCAAAAGGAGCACTATTAGTTGATAAATTTGTATAGGATGACTTCGGTTCTGTTATTAAAGAAAAACTTAAAACATAATCTTTAGCAGCGTAATTGATGTTTAAACTTTCGTATGTAGCGAGACCAATTTCTTGTAAATGGAGAAGATTTAATACATTTTGACCGCCAATTTTTCCATCAATTGATTGATTTACAATTTTGGCGTGCATAAACCAATTACGCTTTTTCCAGCCTAGATTAGTAATTCTTTCATGATTTGCTGCATCGAGTATTTCCACAACTGGTTGCATGTGAAATGGTACAGTTTCATTTGCTCCAGCAATTTCTCGTATCATTTTTAGGTAAAAAATACGTTCTAATATCTCTATTTCTTGAGAACAAATACTAAAGTTTGCTTCTATTGGCTGAGAAACGTTAAAACATAGTACATACGTACCATTATGAGAAATACTTAAATCAGTAAAATTTGCAATTCCAGAAGAAAAAGAAACTGTATTATTACCACCAATGAAAGCATCGTTGTGACCGTATCCAGATTTTAAATATGCCGTTACTGTCCATGGATTAGAGCTATAACGATGTCCAAGTTGCTTTATTAGATTACCATTTATATCTAGCATTGCTAAACTAGGCTGAGTAGGAAGCGAAACGGTTTCGTTGCTTCCGGATGGTTGCATTTGCAAATGTAGTCGACCGGCAATTAGGTATGTATACGATGAACTATTGTAAGAGCTTGAATTTAGTTTCAGTGATTCCTGTAACTCTTGATATAAGACCGTTCCATTTGGTGAGTCAGATGTATTTGTATACGGATTCCCCTCTCGTGGATCTTGAGGACTAGAGCTTGGATCAGTAACAGTAATTTCTAGAAGATTGTAACCTTTTTTGTGAAAAGCGCCAATTTGGGCGACCTCCACAACTTTATTGGCTAGTACTTGCAGTGTAACAAGGGTCATCTGCTCTGAAGTTCCGGTATAATTTTGAGGATATGAACTTGGAGTTGGATTAGTTGTAGCAGAAGTAGGAGGAGGGAAAAGTAAAGTCGAGTTAATACCGTCAGTAGAGTTTACTTCGTAAAATTCTTCTGCAACAACGTTAACTGTTGGTGCTGGTGGATTGCCAATTTCTACAATAACTGTCATAGTACTAGAAGCTCGTTTTCGTCTGGTATTCGATTGCTCATTAATGGCCTCAACATACCTTACTTTTGACTTATCGATACCTAGTAATTCAGCAATATTATTAACTAAATTCTTTTCAAAAAACTCGTCTATCGTAATCGCGGGCAATTTCAAGGAGAGCTGTATTATCGGCATTGTGATAATATCGATTGGGTTGCTTCCTCGAACCAAAATATAGAGGGTTTGTTTAGCACTATCGTAATAGTTCAATCCATTTATTCCATGAAAGTTAGGAATAAACTTAGTAGGATTTTTCGGATCTTTCGGAAGATACTCGAAGGTACTACCACTAAGTTTAGCGTTAGTGGGGTTAACATAAGTGCCTAATTGATAGACATCAAGACGTTGAGGATTGGAATAAAAGATCCCAACAACAATGGCTTGATTATAATTAGAATTGATTAAATGCAATCGTAAGTGCTGGGGGTTAGTTCCTGTGAAGTGAACATCGTAGAGTTTTCCAGTTGACACAGTAGTAAAGAAGGTAGATAAACGTTCTTGGCAAGTATAGCCAAGACACCAGCCAAAGTCTTGAGGACCATTTAATAAGTCCAGGTAACCATCTGCAGCGAGAGCTACTGGGGAAATACGACGCGTTTCGGTATCCTTATCCATGCTCTCTATGATAAACATTTGGTGATCGAGTCCTGAACACCTATAAGCATTCCATTCACTTACCCAGTTGCAGTTAGAAGACGTACGATTTCCGCGTACAATACCTTTATAAGGCGCTACAGAATTTACGGCGATTCGAGATCCGTTTAGTGCAGTTAAAAATGTCTTGGGTATTCGGTAATCACCTAAACCACGCCTGGGATCTCCATCCCATTCATATTCCGCTTTGCCAATAGCTGTATTGCCAGTCTTACCTAGAAAGGTTCCGTCTAAATCTCTTATCAATGCGTGTTTTTGACCATCACAATCCATATCGACACAATCAGATGGATTGACCCAGCTGATACTTGGGGGGAAGAAGTATAACTTCGATGATTCATAGACGTTGTCCAGCGTAATACCAGACATTTGAATCGGATGAATAGCATCAGGTGTTTTTTTATTTGAACTAATAGCTACATCACGCTTTCCGCAAGCAATACCAAAATTAGCAAATATAACAGAAGAAATTTCTGTTATGCCGTTGATAGCAGGATAATTTTTGACTCCATGCCACGGTTTAAAGGGGGCTGCATTTGTACCGGAGACGAAGCTGGTCATAAATATCCCGGCTCTACCACCAGAGGCAGGTTTAGGACATCGATGCTTTTTAGTGATGGCAGTATCTTTAGGGATCACGAAGTCAGCACTACAATCAAAATTTGGACTTGTACCTATAATCATGGATTCTTGGATGCGAACAAATTTATTTGCTGTTAAATGTGTCACTGATGCCGGAGCATAAACAAACGGCATAATACCGCAGACATTGTCGATCAACGTAACATTATACATTATCATACGGGATGATTGATAAAAGAATATTCCGTAATCGTAATTACGATAAGAAACAAAGTTTGCAATTCTTGTACAGCCTGGTTCTGCGTCTTGAAAACCCATCATGATACCATGGATGTTCGAGTGTGCAATATTATTTGACCAACTGATCGACGGATTGATATTATAACATTTTTCGCCACGGATACGAAATCCGGCGCGTTGGGAACCCGCGGCAACATTATCACGCAGTGTTAGTTCAACGGCTTTATGTACTTCAAAACTTGCTTCCCATTCGGTATTTTCTTCTTCATATCTACCATTGTAGGTAGCGACGGCTAGCGTCAAAGAAGCTAAGTTATGAATAATTCGATTTTTTCGACCCCAAACTCGAATCGAAGAGCCTACAGTTTTGTAAATTACGTTGTCTGATACGGTCATATTTTCAGTGCCGAAAACTCCGATTGCGGTATTATATCCGTCATGAAAGCTGCACCCTCGAACGTAAGAATAAAATTGATTCATAGCCGGAACGAAACCAATATCCAGAAACGCAATGGAAAATCGCGGATCGAAATAATCTCGATATCCTTCCTGCCCAGTGTTTTTAAATTGCACGTAGTCAATTCTGGCATTACCTGTAAATCTTGTACCATCATTCTGCTGAAATGATCCTACTAAAATACGGCCACCAAAGCTTTGCTTTGATAGCGATCCGATAGCATCTTCTGCTCCTTCAACCACAATATTACGTGTTAGTAATCCCACCTCCGCTTTCATTGCATACTGGCGCCCACTGACCATGTTAACAGCAGATAAATGAGAATAGCGTAAAGTCTGATATAGGGTAATAGTGCGCTTATCAGTAGAAATATGGGAAATTTGTGCTTTTTCGGTTTGGAAAGGTTCGTACGTAGAAGAAGTAATAATTATTTCATCATCTAGTTCCCAATCGACTGCTTCTTCTAACGTGATCTCATTAGCACCAACAGGAGCTGTTTGAGCTAGATGCGTCCATGTTGTTGATTTAGGTTTACCATGTAAATCAAGATAGCCAAAAACACCGATGGCCTTGGCTCCTAAAACAGGTCCGTTGGTTAAAACTATTTCAGGTGTTTGATGATTTCCACTAAGTATAAGGTGTGCTTTATGGGTGTACGGACTATGTTCCCACCCAATAATTAATTGGCCACCGTGAATGAAAATGTAGGAGGTATTTAAGACTTTATCAGAATTATCGTCAAATTCTAAAGCTCCATAAATAGTAATTTTTTTGAAGTAGGGTAGATCAACTACGTCGAGTACCATCCACCAGTCCTTCTCAATTACGATCTCTTCCCCAAACTTCGGTATAGCCTTATTAACTTTACCATTCCAACTACCTTTCTCGGACCATAACCGATAGTCTGAAGGACGCTGTCTAGGAGCTGGTTTAGGTACAGGTTTGACACAATCCCTGAAGTAGCATTGGTAAACTTTCGGTTGCATATTGCGTTTATATAGCGGTTGTTCTAGTT